TTCGATGACGTCGCGTGGTCGTAAACACCTGGAAACTCGTTATCGCGACGATACAGACGCGCCAAGCGATATTACATCGCTGCCTCGGCCTGCTGCGCCGACGAGTGGACGCGCCGAACGAGTAATTCGCGACGATCGACTTGGAAACGCTCGCGGCTCTCCGCGTCTCTCGCCGATTTCGACGGTGCCGGACGGTGTTCCCAAAGCGAGGGACACGTGGTCATCCCGTGCGTGCGGCGCGGATGAAGCTCGGAAATTGAATCTCGGAGCGTCGTTGCGAGAGAACCGCTTCGGGCCCCGCCAGATTCCGGGAGTTCCGCAAGGCCAGATATGAAAATTCATCGAGAAATGCCGTTTGAAGTTGTCCTTTTGTCTTCCTCATCTCCACGTGCCATTCTTCTTCAGCCGTGTGTGCGCTCGGACGTCTAACTTTTTATCGAGCTTCAAAACGCTTTCGTGGCTAAGTTAAACCGGGAAATATTTGCCAACGATTATCTTTATTTGCAGATATTGATCACGGAATTTACTCAGTCGTTTACTCTTCTCGGGGCTGATCGTCACTCGGGTTGGTCGGATAATGAGGAGTGCGCTCGGAGTAACATTGCACCTACATCTCTGAACGACCGTCGGTCGTCACGAAAACCGGAAGGTGCAAAGGCGAATTAATTCCGAGCATCTAGCTTGACGCTCATTACAGTCGCCGGGCGACTTGTCGCTGATAAATCATGATGAATTTTCCGGAGTAACGTCGCGGACGGATGCGGCGTGTTTTCTATTTGTCATTTGCATGCACGTGCGGCCCGCGATCGCGATCAATCCGAGGGGAAAATTTAATATGTCATGATTGCCCGCGTTTGCAATGCCGGCAGATTCGCGAGGCTAGCAAGTGTCGTATAGAGATTAGCGGGGAAAAAACAAGAGAGAAGAAATAACGCGCACGAGAAAGCGAAACTGTCTCCGATTTTTAAAACCGAGACTACGTCCGAGCGGTTCGTTTCCATAATTTACACCCGATGAATCGCTATAGGCCGCTGCGAAGTTCGATTTCCTCGTGTCCCACCTTAGGGCCTGGGCAGAAAGATCGTCGTAATCGTTTATCCCGTCGTGAGACGTAAGTCGATGTCGGTACGTCAACGCACAAAGAATTGTCGTAGATAACCGAGACGAAATTTTGGCCCTATGTTGAACCTTTAATTCTATTATATAGCAGGACCTAAGACAGTAAAAGAGGTCGAACTGCAAGTACAAAATTTGCTCCTACTTTCAAACTGATAGTGTCGGAAATTTCTACTTTTGCCAATTCAGCATTAAAGTAGGTCCTTTTAAGTAGGAGTTAAAGTAAAATTTGAGAATTAAAGATTCGCGGGAGGAGTGAAAAAATGTAATGTCATCAAAGTAGGTTATTGCTGGTCTATGTAGGTGCATAGATCAGCTGAGTAGGTGTAAATTATATAAGTGTCCAAATAGTACCAAAATTTCGACTCGATCGAGTGTATGTCGTCTCGCAATGCGATGGCTGCGACATACATTCTTTGTACGTTGACTTCTAACACCGACCTAAGTCTTACGATTCCGTCTCTAAGTCTAAGGGCATGAGCAGAATAGCTGCCTTACCTTAAGTCTAGTCTTAAGACAATGTTCTACGTTTCAAATCTTTGTCTTAAAGTGATGCACAAAAACTCTATTGGGACTTAAGATTACAAGACAGCTATTCTGCTTAGGCCCTTCCGATTCCGTCGACTGAAGGGTCAGAGCACAGAGCAACATAATATCTTACGACAAAGAAGCGTAAATGTAGATTAGCGCACAAGCTTTGACGTATGTTGTACTTACCTCCAATTGCATATGACGTTACATTTACGCCAAAATTTATGCGCTCTCTACGTTTACGCTTGCATCTTCGCCGTAAGCTATTACGTTGCTTTGTGCTCTGACCCTAAGGCCCTGTCTACAATGAGTCGTTAGTCGGTCCTTTTTCTTTCGCCCGGAGAGAAAAAGGATAGACATACAGTCCCGACTTCTGACTAACGACCAACAACTCATTGTAGACCGGGCCTAAGTCTTACGACGGAATCGCAAGACTTAAAGCGGTCCACGACAATCTTCCTGCTCAGGCTCGTACGGTCCACGTTTCGCATTCGAAGCCAACGCCACGCGGATCACGGCCAATTGAATTGTTCAACGCCAGCCGATTGTCAATCTTGCATCGCATCGGCCGGACAGCTTTAACTTGCCACTGTGCGATCGCCGGACACGCCGCGGCATTACGTCCCCAAGGTCGCCGGAGATTTAGTTTCAGGCTTTTAATTTTCTCGGGCCGTCGATGAGTCGGCTTCCAACGTCGGATTTGTGCCGCTCGGGCTCAGGATCAGCCGCTACCTCTGATTAACGTCATTACATAATCACCGTCGTCACAGACGGCCACGAAGATATCTTAGGCTACGCAGGTATAATCTCGTGTACTTAATCCCAGCCGAGCGAGCGCGCTCGGTCTCCGATCCTCGAACGCCGGGCAGGCGTACGCGTTGCGAGACGCCCCGAGATTTCCACGAGAAGCTGTCACATGCGATGAGAGCGGAGATTCGCCCGATTAACGCCTGAGAATTTTCGCGTGACTTTTCCCGCGAACGCGACGCGAAGCATTTCGCGATGCGACAAGTGCCAGGATTTATAGCCGGTTTCGCCGCTACCTCGTTTAACTTCAAATCAAATTCAACTCCATTCTCAAGAACGCGCTATTTCTCCATTTCATTGTTAATCCCGGAAGAAGGGGGAATCTTTTTGTGTAAAAACTTATTTCAGAAACTATTATGAAAATTGTTTCTGGATTGTAACATTAAAACATTTATCTATCTTTAGAAACTAATCGAGCAATTATATCCGCTAATGTACGAGTACTTCGCGCCACTCGCCAGAAGATAAAAACTCTGATTCGTATCTTATCTAAGCCACGTGCCACGTACACTGTACAAAGTATGTAAAATTACATACGTAATAAGTGTAGCAATTACACTATTGATAACGGATATATATAAATTTATGTATCTTTACAATACATTTCTTTACTCTTTATTGTGTAAATGCTTGTTTATAATGCATGATGAAAAATTACAAAAAATTGTAAAATTTACACAATTAAAAGCAAGCAGTTTACTTATTATATAAGGTAATAATTTTACCTACAAGGTGTACATTTGCTGATGTAAATGTTATGTAATTTAATTTTAAATTTTATAATTTCATATCGAAATATCGTAAGAATTTTCTTTAGCTTATTTATTTTGTAAGGCAGCACAATTTAAAAAACAATTTCTGACTTTACAAAAATTCCCATCGCACAGAAATCGCATCTCATCTTTTAAGAAACGTTGTGAATAAAATAAATTGCAAATAGCTTATAATAAAAAATAGATCGTTGAGCGACAATTATTAAATATTAATAATTATGAAATTATTTATATCATAGAAATAATCATGTTGATGGTGGAAGGTTTCTTCTGAATCAATTTGATAATGGCCATTCATTAATTTTACATTGAAGGTACTATTCATTGACTACTTGATAACTTCGGTAGTTAAAACGTATAAAAATCCATTACAAATTATTAACCTTGCTACTCACGCGAGAAAGATTTAGTATCAGGCTCTGATATAAGTTTCGCGAAAAGTTTCTGAAGATGATTACAGTATTCTAGAAATTTTATGAAGATCCACGACAACCCGGGACAAAGACAATCACCAACCGCGGCACGACCCTGGTACCATGAGGTTGTGTTATTTCACTTTCAGCATTTCGTTCTAATTTTAGAAAAACGCGCTTCGACCACTAAGACCGGAAATATATTATAGGTTCATGGAAAGCAGAGCGTGTAGAATGAAGCTCTATCTTACTCCATGGGAAGTGTAAGGATATTTCGTAAGTTGAACGAACACAGTTATATAACGTCATCTCATAAATTATTTAACATTAAAATTGCATTCGAGTAATCAAACATGTACATATATAATTAATGTCACTACATAATGTATTCAAATCTCGAAAGCCGGCACATTGCGTTAATTGCGAGTATGAGAATACAATATAAATTGCGTACAGTTTACATTACATTTTAATATTATCCCCAGCCTTGTCTGTCTCCGTTTTCAGATTTAACTTATTTTAGGTGATATTTTTTTCGCAATAAATTTAGAATAAAATATTTAGACACCACCCTGTCACGGCTCTTAGTCCTTTATTTCTTGAAATTTGTGTTTAACACATTTAAGCCATACTCATTTGTTAATTTATTTTAATTTATTAAAAACAATTTTTTAACAAAATGTCTCTTTTTACGTTTGAATTCTCATTCAATAAATTAAACGTCTCTTTTCACGTTTGAATTCTCAACTTAAACTTAATAGATGACGTCTTAAAATAAAATATTAATACGGAATTCATTCCAGAAAATAATAAGGAAAGAGTATGCTATTATTTAGCTTGGTATTTCTGAAGCTCATTTCACAAAAATATTTTGATATTCCCGGGACTGCAAGGCAGTCTAACAGCGGAAAAGAAGTACGCTTCGCTATTGTCGAACCGTAACTTCCTGAGGCTCTAATAGCGGCCTCACGAAACGCGTGTGCGATAATGATAAGTTCGCAGTAACGGCACATATGCCGATTTCTACAGCTCCCAAATTCCCATAGCATATGTCACGTACGATCTTACGTCACAAAAGTAATTCATTCACTCGTATGCGCATAAGGGGTTCGCGCACGCGCACGCACACGCGCGCGCACATATGTACGCACGCGTCTTCATGTACGCGCACACGCGCTATTCGCGAAGAATCGTAAAAAAAGAAAACGTGAATAAATTCGTTTATCACGGACGCAAAACCGTAATCCGCACATTCTCTGCCGATACTCTCACTCACAGCCTCCTACACGTGTTCTCCCCCTCTCTCTTTCTCTCTTACTCTCCTTCTCGAGAAACCTGCCAAGAAAAAGGAAGATCTTACCTCTTGTAACAGTATCCCGGTATCCCGTTCTTTTGAGAACGCGATCGCGATAATCCGCCCTCGCGTTCGCCTCCTCGCTTCGGTGACGCTCGGCGGGAAGGCAATGGTTTCCGCGGCGGGGGAGTAGCCGAGTCACCCGCGCGGGACTTTTCGCGCTATCCTAGTCGAAGGTCGTTCGATCACTCGCGATCGGTCGGGAGGGAGATTCGAACCGGCGAGAAGAAAAGCGGCCGGATTGCGCCGCGCGCGCGCGCTCACACACACACACGCTCGCGATCCGCGATTGCTATCGCGCGCGATTCGCTTGATCGCGAGGATTGAATGACTGCTGCTCCGCGGCGGGACCAGTGCCGCGAAAGATACGATCTATCGCAGTCTGAGGCCGAGTTAGGACTGTGGACTCTGACAGGCCGCGACTCCGCTCTCTCGCTCGCGAGGGCCAAGCCTATCGACTCACACTCCGCGCCTCGCTTCTCTCCTGATGCCGGCTACGCGACAACGACCCCACCATCGTGGCTCCTGGTGCACGCCTGGTAGCGCTCGGGCGGAGTGGTAGGAGCAACCACACCGCTTCGCGCCGCGCCGCGCCGCGCCGCGCCGCGCCGGGCCACGCCGGTCGCTCTCCTCTTGGTGAACCGGCGGAATCGGCGTGACGGAATCGCCGAGACACCCGATGGCCGCGTCTCTCGCGACTCAATCAAGGCAAGTGTGAGTACACGCGTAATTGTACGTGCGAATGTGTAGCGGCCAGGTGGCCAGAGTAGCCTGCGAGGACCGGTGTTTTCAGCGTCGATAAACGTCATCCACCACTCCGCGAATATCCAGCAGAAGTTCAGTGGATTTCTTTGCGGTCTTTGTCGGATACGACAGGCGTATGATATCCACGGGACTTTTGCCAGTTGTCTAGCGCTGCCTGCAGTCGTAATGGATGCCTAACTGTAGCTGATAGCCGGTACCACAAACCGAGGAGAGACACAGAGTAGTTTTCTTCCGAGTAATTTTACCTGACTGAGACGCGCGAGAGAAGTTGCGTGGATATTAACTAAAATTAATTGACCCTTTGTGTCTTCCTCGTTCTTTCATCGAGAAGAAATTGGTAGGCCCATTTAACCCTTTCACGACCACTGGGACATATAAGTCCCTTACGAAATCTAAAAAGATCTTGAGAGTGACTTGGCTTGCAGTAAAAAAAACATATCGACAAAAGCCAAAAGAAATCAAAAGAAGTAACTCGGTCGCGAAAGGGTTAAATCAATAATTAATAATATCGAATGCAAAGTGAAACGAGGGATTCATGTTCAATTAGAATGCTTGTCGTTTTGAGACGTCTATACATTTATCTCATACTGTTTCTTCTTTACTTGGTCGTTGCAAACATTCTTCGACTGTCACTGATGTGCAATAAACTTTGGAGGAAATATTTAGTATCAGCATCCGCGACATCTTTGTAACAAGCTTAATGTAATAATAACTAAGATTTTTGCGACTTAGGATAAGTACAGTTATATAATCACTGCGTAACTTCGAGATATCTTGTGGTATCTTGTACGGAAGGCAGGCAGAAGTAAGATATATATTTAAAGGAATTTAATTAACCTCGATTTTTGTGATAAAAGGATTCATAAAGTCTGTAATTTTATGCAGATCTCTTCGGGTTAAAATGATCGCTGTTATCGCAGATACGATTAGCATTTCATTAATCGCAGCGCGTATCGCAACACATTCATCTGCCATGTTAAATTCGATATACGAGCTAAATTATCCTAATAAGTAATAAACATTCTCTCCTGCAGATCTCGCACACGCACACGTGTTTGCGCGCCAAAAGATTTTACATTTATTTATGGTTTCCATACGTGGCATTATATATAAAAAAAAAGCAACTACTTACCAGAATGCGACGTTTCCTGTGCGATATCCTAAAACCTTGAAGAGGGAAAAACGTGTTACTTGTGTACTATCTTGAATTTAATCAATCACTTCACGTACGGAGGCTATGAGAACTTAATTGCTTCTTCATTGCCAACTACTTGTTACCTCATATTTCGCAGCGATAATAAAATCTCGACGTTGGAGAGACCGACCATAAGATTGCAGCAAGAGCCATTAATTTATCGACGATTTTGATGCATACCTAAATTTGACAAAGACAAAATTTCTTTTTCAATTAATCAGTTAGCAACGGAATACATAAATCATCTTCAAGCTCGTTTTTGGTGATCAGATGAAAGGGGCCACGAAATCTGAAATATCAACCAATGGCATCATTATTCGGCTAGTATTGCAACAATTATTGACACCGTGACCTTTAACAAATGTTAATTACGTTTCGCATGATGTCATACAATTGATTCTCGAAATTGCGATAAGCCGTGCTAGAACCGGTGTATTTTATCAAAGGTTAAATTCCACTTAAATGGGAAACTGCGCGTTCGATATCTTTTCTTCCAATCCGAGGAGACGCCCGCTACCAGGAAGCCGGCTCGCCTCAAGAATTTGCGATAGCAGTTCCGGAAATGAATCGAGTTTGAATTATCTGTAAGGTTAACGTTTCAGGAAGGCATTTAGATAATCTCCAGGAACATTACGCGACGTTGTCTCGTAAATGCATCGATGCACGGAGGATCTATCGTCCGCTCGGTACGTTCGTCCGGTAATCAAGGACTTTCATGGTCGCGCAGGATTACGGATCTTTCACCCTGCAATAACGACCCTGTTACAACCGATGACTCCTACGGTCAACCTATCGAGAAGCGGCCCCGAAGAAGCTAAAGACTCTGATTCACGTTGTGCTAGCGGCAGGAAGTAGGCGTTGCACTTTGACAGAAAAAAAAAGTTAATATGTATGTATGTTAATAAGCGCGCGATGCAAAACGGTAACGAAACGGTCGGTACCTCGGGTCCCGTACTCGAGAACCCCGTAAACAAGCGCACAAGTAAAATTACTTTCTTCACTAATTACATAATTGAAATAACTGGATACAGAGAGAGAAAGAGAGAGAGAGAGAGACATAAATTTTAAAAAATTGATATAAAAATTCAGTTTTACTGGAGGAGAAGCATGAGAGAGAAAGAGAGAGAGGGGAGGTTAATATACATAAGAAGAGCCATTAACATATCGTGTCTCATGTAAAATCCCCTTGATCCGACATTTCCCTAACAATGAATGAATGAACGCATCGTGCATCCTTATACAGCAACTATCGATTCGTTGAAAAAAAAATGACTCATTCTTTCCCGATACGTTAGAAATGCCTATCGGCGGTTCTCAGAATTTTTTCCTCTATCTCCAACATATCTTATCAGTACACTTTCAGCGAGTACAGGACACGAATCACGGAGAATCCACAGAGACTTCGCTAAGCGCCGCCATGAAACGGCCTCGATTGAAGTCTCTCGGGCGAAACAGGTGGGTGCGCGGGGCCCCTCGTCGATCACACGTATCACAATGAGTCAGGCCTATCGCACAATGGGAAAGCACGGACAATAGGAATAGGAAATAACACAGGAAACAGAAATAAATAAATTCCAACTTAGCAGAAACCGTGTATCGATGCACAATGGAATATGGAATAGGCAATAGGAACAGAATTTCCGACGCGTTGGATTTCTGCTCCCTATTCCCTGTACCTGGCCTGACCAATCGCAGTTGAGCCTCTGGGACAGGCGCGTGGTTTCAAAAAGCAGATGATTGGACAGCGCTCCTATTGCCAACGAATCATTGTGTCTTGGCATTACATAGGTTTCTATTCCGTACTTCTACTCCTTACTCCTATTGTCTGTGCTTTCCTATCGTGTGATAGGCTTCAGTCGCGCGCAGCCGTATATTTTCTGACCCAGAAAGAAAGAGACTCTTGGGAGGCGCGGCATAGACGGAGAGAGCGAGAAAAACCGAGTTGTGTCGAACTAAAATGATCGCCCGGCACGATCGTTGCCGCCGACGTAAACGCGGCTATTACGGATCGGCGATTAGGACCGTAATGCAGGTCGTAGATCGCTCGAGTCATTAAGAAAATATCGCTGCTTATCCCACGAGATTATATTATATTATACGTTTTTTTTTCAATAAAAATAAACGAGCTCTACGTGAAATATTAAAGAGAATCTCAACGCCGAAGGAGAACCCTGGAATTTGCACGTTCTTGTTTGTCTAACTTTCTCATCGCGCTGTACCGTTTAGAAAATATAATCAATTTGATTCAGCATTGCGCGCAAGCAATCGTCAACTATTTAAACTACCTACCTACCTATACTTAGGCCCGGTTTCACCAACATCGTTTATCTTTAAGCTTAGCTTAATTCGTTCTTTGTCTCTTTCCAACTGTTACTTTTGAAAGAGACAAACGGGAATTAAACCGAGATCAAAGTTAAGCGACGTTTGGTGAAACCGGGCCTTAGCGTTGGTCTAATCTCGCGGTTAGAAGTGCGCGTCCTCAAGAATGGATTAAAAGGGACTGGTTATTTCAATCGAGCTGCCCAGAGTATGGCTCAATCGTGGCCAGTCAGTGACTCTTTTTGCGATAGGGTATTATGGAATGTCAATGGTTACAGCCAAATTGCATGTCACACGTTATATCATCGGTGTATTACGTCGCACGTGCTCTAAATTTGTAAATACGAAAAAGCGCACGCTGCATTTTCTCGAACAGAATTACGCTCCAATTATACGCCAATTAAAAACCAATTTAATTCGTTCGCAGCGGTAATTTCACCGTGAAATTGTAGTTACGTAAAATCAAATGTATTATTTTAAACGCTTGGAAATATACTTTCGTTAAAATTAACTAAAGTAACATAATTGAACGAAATATTTAAAAAAAATATTGTTACGTAAAAGCATTAAGGTTGAAAATAGTTTTGAGCAGATTTGCGAAACTGCGCTCGATGATCAAACAATTGTCCGAATTGTTTCAATGACGGGTTAGCGTCAACACTCGTAACAAGCAACAGAAATAAAATACGTGGGCGGGGGAGGAGGAGGACCTCGGGTTCGAGGAATGTAATGAAGTAACGTGTTGCAACTCAATCTGTCCTGCGCGGTCTCTTACGTATAGATGAGAAATCGCAGTATTTTCATTAGTCACGGATCACCGAGGGTTGCCGCACACAATCGCTCGTGCTAACAACTTGGCGCGCGCGATAACGAGCTACGCAGGTGCGTTAGTCGCTATTCGTGCGACCGTAGCTCCTTTTTTTCTTGTTGCAGTCAATAGCGGCATGAGTGGCACGACTAATGGCCAACTCACGCTAGTAAATAGCCACAACTACGTCTTCCGCAAACCTCGGTCCAGCTTGGTTCCCATTCCGACAACAACTCCATTTACAAATCGAAGCGCGCAGTTGCGATCTACCCTGCTGCCCTTTGACCGAGGGATAAACCGCTGACCAAACTCATGTACACCAACGCCTATTAATACCCAGTGGGCATCTCTTTATCTTATGATCTTATTTTATCTTATTTTATTCGTATAATGCCCCCAGCAAGGCCTAGTGC